AGAAGAGGTCTGGAGGGGAAATGAGCAACAAAGTTCTGAGGACAGGAAGGAAATGTTTCCTGGGGTGCCTCATGCAAGTTCTGTTCCTTCGAAACAGCTGATGCTTGTCAAAGGGTACAGGGCTGTGTGCACCTCTGGTCTGCTTCATATGGCCCCACAATTGATCTGCAGCTGCGTATTCAGAGTTGCAGCTACTTTCACTGTGAATGGATTCAGTCCCTTGTCTCTAACTCATAACAACTCCCAGCCCAGCGAGAAGATCCAGGGCTAAAATGTAGCCACGCTGACTTTTCCTGATCCCCAGAACCAACAGGGATTGTGTCAGCCCAGCCTCCGTTCAGACCATCTTAGCCTCTGTTACCATGAAACGGCTCTTAGGTGCTTCATGCCAGCCAGGCAGTGAGAGAGCAAAGCTGTCTCCAGGCTCTGCCCCACTGCACAAATTCCTCCACCATAGAGGACATTTCAGCTGCCTAAGTAATCTGGGAAGAGCAATTGTGGGGGCTAGCATCTGGCTAACTCCCCCTGAACGTCTGTCCCATTGAGAGGGAGCAGCATGCCACACCTCTCAATACCTTTCAGGGTACGTCATAGGGCAAAGCATCTGCCTGAAACCAGGCCTGCCAGAACTGGTAACGCTGCAGGAGCGAGTGCTCTGCCGGAAGAGGGAAGACACATGTGTGGCTACATGTGCAGCCCAGCTGGTGCCACCTCCCATTTTTCCCTTTCAGTGGGGCTGCGAGTGGGGAAACAGCAGCCAGACTTACTGCCTGCTAGGGCCATGGCAACTCTGTGGGGTTCTTGCCCATGTGCCCAGTGCGTATGGGAACTCTGCAAGAGCAGGGCAAGGCTCCGGCCCTTACCTTCCCTGGAGGACTCCTTCTGCATGATGGCTTGTCTGTGTTGCTCCCAAGGACAGAATAGACATCAACTTGCTGCGAATCCAGACACTGTGGAGGGAAGAGAAAAGAGAGTAGGGGTCAGGTAAAATACTTGGGTTTAAGCACACCTAATTGCCCACTGGGTTGTTCCCCATCTTGCGCCTGATGGTTTTGAGGAATCCCTGAAGTCTCCAAAATACAAAAAAATCCTGACCTGAACTTGGCTAAAATACAATTCCCTTTTCCCCTGAAAAGTTTACAAGGCGGCTACATTGTCTTTCTCTCTCAGGATCCCATAGATGGGCTTTGATGTTACCTACCCTGTGTAAGGCAGTGGAGACCGATGCCCCTGCCTCCCTCCACGTCAGTTCCTTCCAGAACACAGAATAAGGACCTCTCCACCTCCTGAACAGAGATTCAGCGCCATGGGGACCAGAGGTAACGGGCAAAGCTCTGCATGGCCCAAGACTGGGTGCCTGCCAGCCACAAGCTCTTGCTCTTGGTTATTCTGGGCACGCAAGGGTGAGAAGAGAGGCTGGGACACAGTCCCAAAGCACAAGGGCTATCAAAAAGGGAAAACCTTACATGGGGCGTGACTTCCATTTATCGTCTTTTTTATTTTTATTTTTTTCCAAGCCAGAACTCTTTCTTCTTAGAGGGAGGAAAGAATAATAATAATAATAATAATAAAATCAATACACTCCCAGGCCCACAAGCACATCTGTGGTCCCACATAGCTGCATACCGAAACCCACGCACATCCCACATGTGTATGCACCCGTCGGTCCCCCAGGTAATTGTGTCACTAAAGATGCGTGTCAGTTTGAGTGATGTTCCAGACCTGCCTGAAGGATCAAACATAGCAATCAGGAGGACTTTTCCATGTGTATTTCAAGGATGACAGCAGGTTGCCAAGGTGGCTGTTTCTCTGGCAACGGGAAGATGGGAGGAGCTCCGGCCGCAAGAGGGGTATGAGCGGAGAGCTTGCAAAGGGAGTGAGGCGCTCTGTGATACAGGGAGGAGGATGAGCAAACTACAGGGGCTTGATTCTGGGGCTGCGGATCACCCGAGCCCCCATCATTTCACTGGGAGGTGCAAACGCTCAGCATCCTTCAGGATCAGAGTCGGCAGGATCATGATTTAAACAAGAAGACGTGATAGAGGAGCGATGTTCGGAAAACGGGGCTTGGAAATGAAGGGAGGCACTGAGACGGGGAGCCGAAAGGGACAGAGCATCGCGTGGCTCCGCCATCCCCACTCCCCCTCCTCGAGAGCAGTCAAATTACTTCATCTGTCCACTTCCCCTTCCCAACAACCCACTTGTTTGGAGTGGGTGCTCCCAACTATTTACATGGTTGCAAGTGCACACAAAATATCTCACTTCGCCTTCCTCATTTTCGCTTCTCTGTGTAATGCTTGTGGTGAGGCTCTCGTCCCGTGTGCTATGCTCCCCCCGGCCTGCCTCCGCGTCCCTTCACCACAACGGGCAGCCTCTTTACCTGCTCCAGCCTCCATCCGCTCGCAATCAAGGAGGTCCTTTTGGTTCTTAACCTCCAAAAAAAGATCCCCTCCCTCTGCTCAACCCTCTTCCCATAGAGGCTATTGGCAATGCTGTTGCGTTGCTGGCCAGTTGGAAAGCTGGTGGCTCCAATTGCCCTTTGCAAATAAATTACTTTTGCTTGGTCACTGACCACCTGCTACCATCACGGTAGAGGCATGCAGGCCTCTCTCCTCCTGGCTGGCAGACGCCTTCCCATCCCAGAGCGACCTCGTCGTCTTCCTCGCCCCAGGAAAAGCTCGTGTGCTCTGCAACCCGCCTGCGCTGCAGGAGTTCTGTTTGCTGCTCGGAAAAAGCTTGTTTGAAGTGTAAAGCAGATCGAGCAGGGCTCTGAGACTGCTATTTCCAAGGTGCTCGTTAACTAGGCAGCTAAGCTGGAAGATGGAGGAAAGTGCAGGTTTTGGTCTGGGCAATGCAATGAGGCAGCGCTGCTCTGGGGTTGCAGGAGGGTGAAGAGGCCTAGCAACACCGGGCAGCGTAGCGGGAACGAAGAGAGTGTCCAAGTGCCCCCCTTATTACAGGGGCTTTTTACTACCCTGAGCTGGTTTTCACTGCTCGCACCCACCCCCAGGGGCTACGAGGGAAGCTGCAGCACCTGGAAGAGATGCTGGGAAAGACATTTACTCCCAGGGATGCCCAGCAGCTGAGGCTTCACAGAAAGTGTGCCAAAACCCTTCCTGTGCCAGGGCGAGCCTTGCTGGTGGGCAACATAACTGCACCGGCCAGCTCCAAGCCCCGACTTTGATTCCCAGTCCTTTCTCTTCTGCTTTCCCCCAGAGGTGACACATCCGGCACCCTCTGGCCTCCTGTTCCTTCACCTAATCTCTGACCTCCCTCTTCATCTCACCACCTGGAGTGACTCCTCCCTTCTCCATCCCATTTCCTTGCCTTAGCTCATCCCGCTGCTGACTGTGGATTTCTGCCCTCCCTGTGGATTAAACACTAAGCCTTCAACATCCAGTTTAACACCAATGGATTTACATAAAGCACCTTGTTCCAAACAGCGTGTGCAGGGCTTGCACAACGCAGAATCTCAAAGAAATTTAGCAGCGGGGCACCAAAATTCACCTTTCAAAGGAAATAAGGTTTGTCTGAGGGGAGGACTGTCCCCTTACCCATCTAGAGGGTCTATCCAATGCAGCGTCCCCATCCTAGGGCCCTTCTTCTCCCTTCGCCATTAATTTAGCTGTTGCAACTTGCAGCCTCGTGCTCCCACCTCCTCACCTCGCAGCCCTGCTCTCACCCTGTGCTGTGCCCACGGCAGGAGCTGCTGCGGGAACGAGTTACCACAGCAGCTGCTCTGCGGTAAGCTCCAGCGGGCAGGCTCATGCCCTGTAGCACGTGCGAGTTGGAGGCTGCTTGCTGCTCTGCCAAAGAGGGCTGAGCCACCTGCCCTGCACACCAGGCTGGCCACGAGCTCTGCACAGCTGCCGTGGGGTTAACGTGCGATGGGGGAAGGCTGCATGGGCCAGGTCCATGAGGCTCCTGCGAGCGTGGGGGCCCAGCCAGCCACTGGCACTGCTTGTGCCTAAGGCTGGCTCTGCTGGCTTGTTATATTAGCCTTAGTGGAGGCCTCCTGAACAGAACAACATGATGAAACATGTAATTAAGATGGAGCTAAGGATGCATGACGAGGCCGACTGAGCGAGAAATGGATTTGATTTTTTTTTTGTCTCCTTGCAGAAATCATCCACTTCAGCA